GCAGGATACTTTTAGAAATTGCCAGTGTGGCATCACCAGGTATCTCCTGGGACCCTGTTCTTTCCTTTGGCATCATCTCCTACGTTTAGAACCTTCCAAGTTCTACTTTTCAGTTCCCCCATATTCTCTGTGTCCCCAGCAGCTCAATTATGAATTCTGGGTGGGTTCTGTGCAGGGAGGGGTGTGCTCCAAGGTCACTTCATCACCTTACATGTGCCATGATGATCGCCATCTTGCCACCATCAAAACATGGAGATGAACCTGGGGTAAGGGGCATAGACCCCGACCCTTCCCACTGAGCCTCTATCACAGACCCCCACAAGCTTGCATACCCGCCCTTGGCCTAGGGAAGTCTTGATGCCTTGACATGGGAGGGTCGTGATGAGAACCTGCTCAGTAAGAATCCCAAAAGACTTGCATCCAGTCTACCCCAGACTCGGCATCCCTTCTCCATCAGTTGAGAAAACTGGCCTGTCACAGCCTGACCTCCCAGTGCCTCCACCCACCAAATGGCAGTTCCTTGACTGACTCGGCTCTGCCTAAGGCCGCCAAATCTGGGACTGTCTCCATAGCCCCTGGTTCCTAGAGGGTGCCCCACAGGGTGCTTCCTTCCTTATTAGTGGGTGGACTGGAGGCCATAAACTGTTGACATGAAAGGCAATGTTTTCCTCCAGTTAAAGGTACGTGGTGTCCTTGGCCCTTTTCCCCAAACTCGTACTCTGGGTTCCTTTATTTCCCTACTCCTCCCTTAAGCCCCCACTCTTTTTTGGCTGGAGCTTTATTGTGGTATCATTTGCATAATACAGTTTGCCCGTTTCAAATATACTATTCAATGATTTTGTCAATTTGGAGTTACGCAACCATCACCACAATTTTAATTTTAATGCATTGCTGTATTTCTGTCACACAATCATTTGATTCCTCTTTGGCAACAGTGGGAATGCCAAGGCCATCTTCTCTTACCATCTCCAGGGAGAGATGATCCCGAAGAGAGGAGCCCAGAGAAAGTTCATCCAAAGGAAGAAACTTCTTTGCTGCTCCTCTGCAAACTCCACTCCTCCGAATTTTCACACCAAACCTGAGCCTGGAGGGCCAGCAGGAGGAGACGTTGCCAGCCCACCCAGAGCTCACGCAGGTCTGCTCCGGCTTCATATGTGAAAGTACCATCGTGTGCTTCTGGGGGATTGGGGTGCGGGGGTTAAGAGCAACACTCAAGTCAGGATGCCCAGGTTCAAATTCAAATGTTGCCGTCAACGAGCTACATGGCATCAACAAACTAACCTACCAGAGCCTCAGTTCCCTCACATGCAAAATGGAAACCAAAACACTGCACCCCATGAGGTTCTTACAAGAGATACAGTGGCCAGGCACATAACCCACGCCTATAAATCCAGCAGTTAGGAGGATCAAGTTCAAGGCCAGCCACAGCAACTTATGGAGACCCTGTCTCAAAATAAAAAATAAGGGTTGAGCTGAGGGTGTTTCTCAGTGGTAGGGTGCCCCCTGATTCACTCCTAGTAGGAGAGAGAAAGGGGGGGGGGTGCGGGCAGTGCCAAAATCTGGTTGCCACCGACCATCTTGTATATCGAGAAGGGGCTTTGGGGACAGTCTGCTACAATGGCATTCCTTTGTCCCATCCATGCTGCAACAGAAGCAGGGGCCAAGGGCACAGGCATGTACTCAAGGTTAGGCTAGTCTTCCCAACTCCCCTCAGTTAAACAAGTAGCCATCCTTTATAAAAACACAACACACATCGGGTTTTTAATGAGAAAATAACTGTATACTTGCATTGAATGCCTCACAATCACTATAAAACTGAAGCAGGATAATAACATCGAAGTGGTTAACATACACAGGAAAGCCAGATACAGAGTATAATTTTCAAACACAGTATTGCTGCTTTTTTCCCCTCCTCCATAAAAAAAAGAAAATGTCATCTGGATAAAGAGCAACACAATCAAAATTGGCAGCTCACTGAATGCTAAAAATTCAGGAAATTGATTCTGTAACTAAAACTGGATATAGTCACCTTCTCTAATACTTAGGCTATTTTTTTTCCAATACATAGTTTAATTAAATCCATTCTTCATTCGGAAAAAAAAATGTTTGTCTTCAGCGACAAGAGTCAACACTGCTTTAGTGTTTCTTGTTATGAGTGTGTGTGTGTGTGTGTGGACACTGATATAGATACTGCTTCTATGTCATCGCCTAGGGTGGGCAGCATGCATGGGTAATTGCATTGTCATCCAAGTAGAATTCAACCAACCTCTGTCACTGACAGACCCTGTTTCCATAATTTCTGGATGAGAGAACCAAGGCGTGTCAGTGGTTCATCGGCTCTGGAAGAAACTGAACATCCATAAACTCTGCAGCAAGGAATACTTCTGGGAAGGCTCTAACGTTTGCAAAATCTCAAAATTTGTTCTAGTTGACATTAACAAGCTTGTGTGCTATTGAAGGGTGAGGCCGAGAGCTTCCTGAGCCTCTTTCTCCCAGTGGATTAGGCAGGAATGACTTTTCTCCAGGGGTCTGTTCCATCTTCAGGAAGCTACAGGGGTTCATGTGGGATCCCAGAGCACAGTGCTGTGTCCATGGTGCAAACATGGGGTGGCAGTGAGGGGGAATGTTTCTTGAATGAATAAAAAAAAAAAAAAAAAAAACAAGAGCACAGACAAAACCTGGCTCTACCCCAGTGAACCGTAATTTACATTTTTAATAGGAATGCAATGGGATTGTCAGTGAGTAGAGCAAGGAAATAGCAGTCATCCAGAAGGCAATTTGGGGGAACTAGTAAAAGTTGGAGATGTAGGGGACACAGTAAAAACAGGTCCGTGACTGGGAGAAACAGTCACAGAAATCACATTTATTTCCTCATCTATTCGTGGAGTGTGGCCCAAGGGATCCTGGCTCTAGAGCAATCAATGCCTCTTGTTCAATCAAGGTTGCTTTGAAAGTGATTCCATGAACTGGGTGGCTTCCTAACATTCCTCCCGGCCCCAGCTCTTCTCCATTGCAGCTGTCCCGTGGGTACAAGATCCCCTTCCAGACAGAACAAAAGCTTAAGGTAAGTGGTGACAATGGTTCCCTCTTGTGAAAAAATGGGGGGAGTTAGTCAATAGCATGTCTGTGCTCTCTAAGAGTTCCATGTCTGTCCCAAAGCATGAAGCACAGTGTATTTCCTGAGCAACCCATAAATGTAGCCTACTGGCCACCATCCTGACTGCCACTGTGCTTGGGGCCACAGGTGCTGATGCCTCCTCTGCTCTTCTGCATGTGTCTCCTTAGAGAACGCCCCTCCCATTCGGTCCTCAGCCCAGAAATCCTTAGACAAATGGTGGTCCTCCTTCCTGGGCGCTCCCATTCCAATGGGGCAGGACCTCTGCTCTAACATGGAGGTCACCTTCCTGGGAATACCTGGCTCCATGCCAGCCTCTGCCACTATAAAATGAACTCCTGTATCAGGGGTCTTATTTGTTCAGTGTCCCCCAATGGCTAGCACTTGGCTGAACATTCAGGAGAATGAACCATCCCAACTGCCAAATGCCCACATGCAAGGTTGGCTACAATCTGCAGAATGTGGGTGCATATGACAGGTACCAGAGGCACTTTGAAAGGATCTTTAGGGGTTATTGGCCAGTTCCATCTTTTTACTTTATGCCCACCATTTGTGAATAAACTTTCCCTCAAAGTCAACACTAGCAAAGATAAAAAAGCAAAGATAATGTGGGTAACACTACATACGGGTTTTGTGGAATTGCTACTTATGAGAATAACATATCAGAGCTTATGACATAACAATATTAAAACCAAAAAAAAGAATTTTAATGAGATCTAATTTAATTATTGCTTTAAAAAAATAGTTTTAAAACAAAGGAAAAATAACGAAGGCTGGTTAGTTATTTTTCTCATGGCCAGAAATAGAACATTTTCTCATCCAGAAATTTAGGGCACCCAATTACTGAATGCCCTTATCATATTGCTTTAAATGACAGAAAAGAGTAAAGCTAGCATCCTCTAGTGTATACTAAGCATGAATCCAAAGCATGGGAATAAATAGGATACGTTCCTAAATGTCAAATTACAAAACTACTCAAAACTCTGCAATTGTGATTCATGCAAATACCATGTTAGGTCAATTTAATATTACAAATACTGCATCAGCTCGGTGCCTTTATATCCCTTTTCATAAAAAAGAAATTCTCACTCACTCCTGATGCTGGCTAACAGCTTTGGAGGAAATAACTGTACACTCAGGTGTCGTGAGCAATTGAAATTTAACACACACACACACACACCCGTGAACATACACTCGTTACACAAACACACAAAGGTGTACACACACACACACACACACACACACACACCCCATCTTTAGGATTTGTAGTTGATTCCAAGCCTGTACTTAAAATTTCTATTCTATATTTTTCTCTTTAGCATCCTGAAAAGCACTCAGCCAAAAAAATAATCTCTTTCACGTCCTTCTCCTCCCTCTCCCTCCTCCCTCGTTCTCTCCCTACCTTCATTGACTTTAATGTTTCCTTTCTATTGACCCCAAACATCCCTTCCTTCTTCCTACTACCTCTAAGGCTCACTTTATAATACAAAATAGTTATAAACACTTTTATTTCTTGCCATCTACCTCTCTAAGGCAGAGTTTGACCTTCCCCCCCCCCAATTATTGCCATCTAAAAATACCCCTACCATCTTGAACCAAGCTGTTCAATGTGTACAGGTTTTATTCATGTTTATATTCCCCTATCCCATCATAAAAATAGTTGTTGCCCACTAAATATAGTTTTCACGTGAAGAAACGTAATTGTGAAAATGTGTTCTTCTAAACTACACATCAGTCAAGAGTATAAGCGGACAAGATCCTAAAGCTAAAATAATCCATTTGGTTTGGCTTTCTCACCCCACATTCCTCAACCTCCTAGTGTAGAAGAGATTGCATCTGCAACATGAAGATATATTGTCTTAAAAATATGGATTGTATGCATTGCAATCATTAATTGCTCCCAATTAAAAATAATCAAATGTAAGAGAAATATTATCATAACTGCCTCTTTGGGGCAACCACAGAGAGGAACACCATTCATTGTATGGCGGCTGGAGAAAATGGCGCTAATCCAACACCTTGGATGCCACGAGCAAGGGGTGGGAAGCCAGAGCAGAGAAATACCCTGTGCCACACAGATGGCAACAGCCTGGGCCCTACAGCTCACGAATGGACTTATCCTCACTGTCTGTCCTCATCACCCACCAAGGCTGGTCAAAGGTCTGCCCTCAGCAAATCTTATAATGTCTTTGTCTTTTTGGATCAATTGTGGACTGGTCCAAATCCAGAGGCTTCTTTGAGTCACAAAGAAATCCTTTCTCTTCTGACTCCTGGGTCTCAGAATTCGACGGGTGGACCCCCTTTTTGCTTTATTCTTCATCGTTGTGTGTTGCAGTTTCTGGTCTACAGAAGGATTGCTGAGTTTGTATGCACTTTAATAAATAGTCCATCAAAATGCTTTGATGTGATCATTTCTTGGTTTCTTGGTATCCCAAGCACCAAAGAAGTTTCCCGGGCCGAAGGAAGTTTATTCATTGTCCTCTTCCTCCTGGTTGGCGTAGATCCCTGCCTCCCAGCGCAAGGCCAGTGCGCTCTTCCTTCGATTAACCCGTGTGGCCTCAAGGACCTGAAGAGAAAGGGAAAAAAATTACCCAGGGTTCATGATGCTAATTATGTACATGAGCCAACTTCCCATTTCTTTCCTCTATTCTCCTCCTCAACAGCATCAACATGAATGAAAAGTAATGGAGTGTCTGGTACTGCAGTTGGTAGAGAGGTCAGGGAGGAAAGACTGGAACTGTGCCATCCAATATGGTGGCCACTGTTGCCACATGGCTACCAAGTACTTGAAACACATGCATGAGAAACTAAATATTTAACTTAATTTTACTATTTAACTTAATTTTAACTTACTTAAAATTTGTAAATAGCCCCTTTGGCTAATAACTATTATATTGGATGGCACAAGGATAGATCCTCTTAAGTCTCTTCATAAATAGGCAGATCAGAAAGGAATCCCTAACTATTGGACCAGTGTGGATACAAGCCAAGCTTTGTGGATCTATGTAAGGTATGATCATATTTGTATCACACCAATCTACTCTGGCATAATTAAACACAAAGAATCAGTAACTGAAAAATATAGCTTTTGAGGGTCAACAAAAAGCAATCTCAGCATTTTGATGAAACTTCTTCCGGACCACGTGTACTAATAAAATCAAAGGTGACAACATCAAAGACAAGTGGGCTTGCCACCACTGAAATGGGTCCTCCTTCCCTCCTGTTCACTAGCACAATCTGTAAACTCCTGAGTGGAAGACTTTAGCCAAAATGTTCCAGCTGTAATTTTATTAAGATGAGGTGCAGATGAATGGCATTTAGGTGGCCAACACACGAGAAAAGGTCCTAGGTCTTGCAGTAAAAGCAAGACCAATCATGCCAACCAATTACTCTGGCATTAGTTTAGGGTGCAGAGTTTCTGATTTTAAAGAAAAGTTCATTAGAGCCAGTACTGGTTGGTTTTCCAAACTGCAATGAAGGCTTTGATTATTCTAAAAATAATCATTTAGGCAGGGGACACAGATGTTGGCAACTCCAGAGAAGCAGGAGATGCAGGTTACAGGCAGGGCTGCTAAAATAGGCATAAGCAGATTCTGAGGAGACTAAAGGTCTGGGGGTCCATCTCAACCTGCTTTTCTGCATTTTTGTCCAATGAATGGAGCTTTGATGTGCTTTCCTCTGCAAAGCCCTCCCTACTCGCCCCCAGCAGGGAGAGCTGGGATGTACTCAGTCATGTCTGCTGAATGAATGATGCATTGTGAGGCACCTAAGCCATGTCATCAAGTGTCCTGTTGATAAGCACACCGAGGTTCCCTTATTATCTAAGAAAAACACATTAAGAGAAATAATAGTTCTAGAACTGGTACAGTCTAGAGCATTTCTCTGGCCAATGTGGGATAACATGGAACTGAACCAGAACTGGACTGGGCCTGCAAGGCCTGGGCCCTGTTTTCAGTTCTGTCCATTGGCGATCTACATCTGCCCTACTTGGCAGACTTTCTCAGGAGGCAGTGTGAACTCTGGAGTCCAGGCAGGTCTCGGTTTAAATTCTAGTGACTGTGTGACCTTGGAAAAGTCACCCCTGCACCTCAGTGTCCCCATGTAAAATAGGATCATAAAACCCACAGTTGACCTGAGGAATAAATGAGGCAATGTATGTAAGGCATTTTAGCATGGTTCCACGTGAATAATAATTTAATGAGTAATAATAATGTTTAAAACGTAATAATAAGGTCTCAAAAATTATTTCTATCATCATGTGGAAGGATTTGTACTATATGAAGTGGAATATAAGCACAAAGCATCTATATAAGGGACTCTGTCTTGTGTAAAATGATCAACTGCCTTTTGGACTGTAATACAAGCTGATGTTGAAAGGTTTATTAAAAAAACTGGAAATAAATCCAAGGTTTTGAATATAAGAGTCACCATCCTTTTCAAATGTTCCTTGTCATTTAAACCCTATTTTAATAATCAACTTGAGCAGATTTAGCTTGCCATGTTCTTCAGGAACTCATGCTATAATCTGTCTGCCCATTCACCTTACAAGCATTTACTGGGGTCCTACCTGTGGTTAGGCAGAGTGTTGGCATGTTGGGGACAGAACAGTCCCTTTCCTCATGGAGCTTAGTCACAAAAAAATGTGACGGGCAGATGTCAGTACTCCTAATTAGGGGAACATTTAGCAGAGTTTGGGTTTGAAAACCTACTGGTCAACTTACATCAGATGAGTTCTCCTTTCTTAATTCATTTCTCTTAATTTATATGACCACTTAACATGATCTGATTTTCTGATAAAATCTAAATTCCTTGGTAATAGCACAGACAAGACAATAAATGAATCACCATTGAAATAACTGAGACCTTAGCATAAAACCATCGTTGGGTTCATAGGCCCTGTGATCCAGGACTATGTTGGAGTGAAGCCATCCTACAATTGGCCTTTGAAGATTCAAAAGTCAAGTTCTTGGGGATGAGCACTTGCTCCTTAACTAAAACCCAGATCTGTGTGTGTATGTGTGTGTGTGTGTGTGTGCACATATATATGTAAATCTCTAGCAAATTTAGTGTTATTATCTATCCTTTTCTTTTCTGGGCTAAAAGCACATGCCTCTAGGGCTATAATCGTAGCACACACATCATAAGTACTACAAACCAGTTACTGTTTTAATCCTCAGGACATTCTGTGAGATTCAGGCCATCATGACTCCCATCTTACATGATGGAGACTGAAGCACAGGGAGGTCGAGTAATTTGCCCATTGTTGCCCAGTCAGTAGGAAGAAAAGCCAAGATTTGAACCCAGCAAACTCTAGGTGCAGAGTTGATGCTCAGAGCCATCAGGCTACGTGGCCGTGAGAGCCTGGAGGGAGAAGCACCGGAAAAGAGCAACACACACTCTCCACAGAAATAAAGAGAGGAAAACATAAAAACTAAAAAATAATTAATATGAAATAATACTCAGGGGCGGGGTTGTGGCTCAGTGGTAGAATGCTTGCCTAGCACGTGTGAGGCACTGGGTTCGATCCTTAGCACCACATAAAAATAAATAAAATATAGGTATTGTGTCCACCTACAACTAAAATAATAATAATAATAATAATAATAATAATAATAATAATAATAATACCGAGACCTGATTTGTTTTTGTTTTCTCACGAATTAATTCAAATTCAGGATGATGATGTCGGGGGAGATCAATTCTCTCCGAGCAATCCTCTAACATTGTTTTTGTCTTTGTAATGTGTAGTGCACAGCTTAACTTCTATGGCAATCAGCATAGGACAATACTATACAGCAGTTTGGGGGGATGTGAAGTAAAAGTTATGTTAATGAGTTACCCCTCTTAAATATTGATATTTTTTCCTCTTATTTTCCCTTCAGTAAAAGTTACACTGTGTCCAATTCTATCTTCCTCACATACATTTGACTGGATTGTCACTGTTCTAAACTATACTCACTGAAATAGGAGATGAGATTAGTGTCTAATTCTAAGTTGTCATTCCCTAGATGAGAACCACACTTGGACTATGAGGAAGGAACACAGAATGGTATTCTCAACATTCACTTTGTGTTATGAACAAAAATTGCAAATAATTGACAGCTCAAATCTATAATTAAATATAATTATTTTGCTAAACAGTGAGATACATAGAGATATATACACATACATGCATGCATGTACACCTAAACATGCTTGATTGTTTAGAACATTGTTTAGGTGTACATAGATACATGGATTTGGCACAACTGATTTGAAGAATAATTTGCAATATTTAGGGAATGTAAGTACATAGTAGCCCTACACCCAGTTCTCTTACTAGGAAAATTGTTTTCCTAGGTGCATGGAGAAATGTGCAATAGCATTCAGTGAAGCATTGTTTATAATGACAAACAAAAATAGAAACTGGAAACAACCTGCATTTCCATCCATAGGAGTGAATAAATAGTGATATATTCATTGAATGGAATACTATACAGCAGATATACTGAATGCTCTAGAGCCACAGGTATTAACATGAGCATATCTAAAACCAATGCAGACTGAATAGTCAGCAGCAGAGGCTACCACCATATGACTTACCACTTATAGAAAGTTCAAAAACATGCAAAAAAAAATAGGATATTGTTTTGGGTACATATATGTGTAGTATAAAAGCATGCATGAAAATGAATACCAATGCCAAGAACAGTTACCTCTCAGGAGAGAAAAGGTGTGACAAAGAGACTGAGCAATAAGAACTGGGAGAAGAAACAAGAGGGCTCGAGTTGTATTTGCAACATTAACTTCTTTTAAAAATATTTAGCAAGTGCTATGAAATAATAAGAATGGGCAAAGCTGGAGGAGTAGGTCTTATTATCAGATTGCATTTTATAATTGGGGACTTTGCATGCCGGCTCCACGACATCAGGAACACAGAACAGTGCCTGGCACATGGTAGATCCTTAATAAATCGTAAACCAGGTGACTAAATGATGACTATATGAAAGACTCTCTTTAAAATAAAAATTAGTACAGAAATAAAAATATGAAAATACTGTCCTTCCTCATAGCAACAAAGAAAAATATGGTAAAACATAAATTAAAAAAAAATAGGAAAACATTGTGCTTTCTCATAGCACACATCTTTATAAAATCTGTGTAAGTTGGAGAGGAAAGAAAGAGACCTTTGGGAAGAAGCTTCCAAAACAAAAGTATAAATTGAAAGATCAGAAGGATGGGGTCATGGGGTTGGTTCATATTTGGAATAACTCATCCTAAATCCATGAAATGGGGGAGCTCTCTGGATTTGTGTTAAGGTAAGAGGGACCGGTTAGAATCAACAGCTCAATCTGCATGAGTTGTACTATTTTCTAACCAGACCAGATTAGATTTGCTGCTCATGCCTAAGGAAACTAAAAGAAGCCAAACAGCCCATCATTTGTGCCCTCTAGTTCAAACGTCTTCCAGATCCACGGGTGGGCAAGGTCTTCTCCAACCTCACCGCACAGCACAGCACAGGGAATCATCGTTGCATGGACTCCAGCACCGTGAGGCAGTCCCCCAATTCAGAAAAGGCAGGAGGAAATCCACGTGGAGACAAGCTGTTTTTCTTGCCATTCTCATGTAACACATCAGGAAACGGCAAACCACAACAGCATGCACCTGCATCGAGCATGCACTGACACCAAGACAGACAAGTTGAAAAGTACCTCAGAGGTCACCTTGCAAGACAGTAACTTAGAGGTGTACTGGCAGGAAGGGAAAAGACCAGGGTTAGTACAAAGCAGACACTCACAGAGCACCCCACCGCTGGAACTCGTACCACGCCAGGGGAGGGCAGGAGGGGCAGTCACTCCAGGAGGCCACCACACACCCACGCCAAGACTTGCTTCATCTGATATTTGTTTATTTCAAAGTCTGTATCTCTTGGAGCAAGTAGATACCCTATTATCCTTTAATAAAAATATCAGATAAGCTGCACTTTGTTAATTCAAGATGTTGCTTTCAAATTTTCTGCACTTTGAATTAACGAGATTCCTTCCATTTTGGATTTGCCAGACTCTGGAGCCAGCTTTTCAAAAACTCTTCCTGTAGGCTTCTCTGAACCTTGAGGTTCACTCAAAGAAGACCCTAATCTCTAAAGATTAGGTGACCATATACACAGCCACCCTCATCAGTACCCTGGAGTGGGGTGGTCCTGTGATCACCAGTTAGGATGGTTACTTAGAATTAATATGAGCACTACAATACTAAAATAATCTTAGTTCTTCTAGAAGACTAAAAGTCCTCTGTAAAAATCCACGGGGTTGGGGGTCGAGTAGATCTAACTATGGGAAAGGAGACAAAAGAACCAATGTGGAACAGCCCCTTCCAGAATTGTGGTAATGAGCTTGCATTTACACTGCATAGGGCATCTGAGGAGTTGACTGGTTTGGGGTACTGTTAGTCATAGACTTAGTTCCCCTGAGACTATGGGCTTACAAATCTGTGGGCATCAGCAATTTCTTACATGGAACACTAAAAAATTACAGTTCTGAAGTGGTCAGACTAAGGGCTGGGAGATGAGGAGCTCGGAGCTCTCCTCTCCTTTGCACCTTCCCTGTGGCATAACAGCCCTAGAACGAGATGGACAACGTGAAGCATCCTTGGTTGTGGCTGGGCTTCCTCTAGGGCCTGGGGAAGGGAGGGGCGCTGGGGCAGATGGGCTTCCTTCACCCACTCAGTGAGAGTACAGCGGCATCTCAATGCATGACTTCATTTAGAGGGAAAGTTGAGATGGGAATTCTTCTAGAGAATCAGGAAGTTCCAGACCCCAGTTTTGACACAGTCCAGGGAACTGATGAGTTCTCTTATTCAGAGACAGGCAAGGGTGGTTGCAAGAACTTTCAATAGTAACAGTGTCGGGGGCTGGGGATCTAACTCAGTTGATGGAGTGCTTGCCTTGCATGCACAGGGACCTGGGCTCAATCCCCAGCATCACCAAAAAAAAAAAAAAAAAAAAAAAGCCAGAGAGAGGGGAGGAAGGCCAGGAGAAAAGGGAGGGAGGGAGGGAGACGGAAAACCCTGCTGAGTAGATCCTGTGTTAGAAGTGAAGATGGGACTGAGCACACAGAAGGCTCAATATTCCTCATGCCCCTGAGCTGACTAAGGCCACCTCCCTTTAACTGGAAAAGGAGGAGGAATCTACCAACATGTTCAAGAGAACCAATGAACCCTCACCTTCCTAGGCTCAGGTCATGGTGTGGGAACAAAAGCATACTGTTTAACTAAATGCAGTCATTAAACTAAATGGCCTCATGAATCCATTCCCTAAAGGGCTTCTTGAGGCCTGAAGGAAAGCAATCCAAATAGCTCCTGATTTGTGCCTGCCAGCCCTACAGTCCTCCAGATCTACAGTGGGCAGGGTCTCCTCCATCCCCACCTCAAGACAGCTCCTTTGCAAGGCACCAAGAAGCTCTTTAGGAAACAATGACTCATCAGTCCATTATGAGTTGCAGGACTGACCAGAGATGGCATCAGACTCAGAAAAAGGGCATTTCCAGTAAGATAACAATTCCGGAGAAGAGGAACCCGCAATTAAATTCAGGTGGCTACATCTGGGCCCACTGCAAAATTACCAGGTTAAAGGAGTGAATGATTAAAAGGATGAACAGTGAGGTTGGGGCAGAGCTGCAGCCTCCCTGAGGAAACAGGGTCTTTTTCTAATACATGCAAGGATCTGTGTAGGCTGGTGCGCTGCCCTGGGTTTAGGGGTGGCCATACAACCTCCTTCCTCAAAAAATTAGCCAAGGACTCTACTAATGAGTGGGCAGAAACATGGAGCATGGAGACACCCACTGATGTGCATACAGAACAAGGAAGCACGTCCAGGTGGGTGAGGACTTTGACCACAAAGGGAGTGCCTTGCTCAGGTTCTAGTAGTAAGTACAGCCATCTGGGGATAACTTTTTTGGGCAATGTTCCATATGTCGCTGACCGTTTTTGCTCACCAACTGCAAAATGAGCAGGTTCCCTGAGCCAGGGACCCCCTGGCCTGTCTTGTATTTTTTTTTTCATTAAGTGGGAAAACTGGAGACAGCAGGGCCCCCGCGCTGTGGACAGCTCCACATCCTGCCACTGCTCTGATGTGATTAGAGGGACCCTGGACCTGATTTAAATGGCAACAGTTTTTCTCAGTTCTGATGGCAGAATTCTCTCAGGGAAACTGCAGGCTTGGTTCATGCGGGCTCCTTCTCTTTCTTCATGCTCTTTGCTATCAATGTGTCTGGAGTTAATCTCACCACAGACACGTCCCAGTTATATGTCATTTTTGCTTTTAGGTCTGCATTTTCCTTGAGAATGCAGACCAAGTAAGGATTCTTTTTATTCAATTTATAAATGACTTGCTACTTTCTAGGCTCGGGTTTTGATCCTGGGGGAGAACCCACAGGATCCTTAAAACGTGGTTTCAAATTTCCAAAAGGGCAGGCAGAAATGCTGCCAGGGGGCTTGTAGGAAGGAAATGTTGGCTGGTGAGATGCCAGGGCAGATGCTGTATGGCACTGGGTGACACTGGGGACATCAGCGTGAACCACTTGAGGGTACACAATCTACAATGCCATTTTGCCCTGCTAACAGTGTACGTGCACGGAGCAGGAGAACAGAATTATTTTACTTTTAGAAGAACTGCCCTTAGCTTCTAGCAACCCACCTGCTCTCTGTTATGGTCCTTCTCATATAAGAGACAACTAAAGAAAAACGGAAAGGGGGCCACAGACCAGCTAGGGGGAAAACTTCAATGCATTTTCCAGTGACTCATAGATACAACAGAAAAGATCCCCTAAACTGGAAGGGCTAATAGACATGCTAAGAGGTGGCTCAGAAATTTAGTCTGGCTGAAAATCATGTAATTGCTTTAGAAGCAATCTGAGTATATTTTTTTTGAGATTGGATCTCTGAAAAGAGGAGACACCAGGTTGAATAAGTTTTGTCCTATTCTTAGAATTTTCAAAAACACACTTGGTTTGATTGTAATGTCAGTTCTACTTCAAAACACTGGGCCTTGCGTCCAGGACCTGGAAATAGCAACAGCTTGATTTGTTCGTAGATTTCTTCCTTATCTGAAATGTTGATTTACTTGGGCAAAATAGAGATAGGAAGCTGCCTCTTCGCTGTGTAAGGGAAGGGCAATTAGAATATTAAAATGCTGACCCCATACTTTACTTTTGGCTTCATTAATGCCAAAAGGAAATCCAACCTGGCTGGCATTCATGAGGTGGCTGCCTGAGTATCAGAGCAGGTACGAAGGAGACTTCAGCCCTCTGCCTAGCAGATGACTAAGAATTGGCTCTTTCCTTCTGTGTACAGTGTTTCTTTTCTAATATCTATACTCCAACACAATAAGCACGTACAGGTCGCTACTAAAAGGGTCGATTTGTTCTTTCCCATCCACATGGTAACATGAGGGACCCACTCGGCTGACCTCCACCAAAGTTGCTGATGTATGTTCTGGATACACTTTTCTGCCCCACCTTTCAAAGCAGCCACAGACCACCAAAAATACCTAAATGTGAACTCTGTACCAAAACTGGGGCTGCAAAAAAGGGCTGGCTAAAAAGACTTAGTGGGCAGGAAATGTCCCACAGGCTCAGGAAGGAGCTGCTGCCTCCACCACAGTGAAGCCCAATAGGAATGTCCTCAGCAGACACCGCAGGCCAGGCCCCAATCCACTGTGAAATTCAGAGAACAGACCATAGGCTCCCCCTGTGTGCGTTTTCTTCCTTTCTTTCTCACCACATATTTTGAAAGCAACTTTCAGTCCTGGCTTCCGTCCCAGAAGTCCTTTAACCTGGGATGAGCCTGCCAGAGTTATGAAAAGTGTAAATCGGTGCGGACTTTCCCACTGTGAACCCCAGGGCACTCAAGTTTAAGGTGACCGGGTAGTTCATTATCTAAAGCAGGATACCTTTTAAAGGGAAAGGGGTGCTATTCATCATTATGATGCCCGAGACTCCTCGGGGATGGCGTGAAACCTTGAGGCTGATCCCAGGCTCCTTGGGACCGTATGGAACAACTCTGAAGTCTCTTGCAGGACAAAGAAACCAGAGTGGATGACTTCCTTCATAGTTCACGTGAAAGCCACATGCAAAGTTCTGGGGTCAGGGACAGGGTAGTTGTGTGGTTTTCAACTGTCATTTAAAATGGCTCTTTCTTGCCAAACTGCATAAGAGGCTTGGAAACAACCCAAAACACATATCTTCCTTTTTTTTTTTTTGGAGGGTGGGGTATGGGGGGCAACCGGGTTATTGAACTGAGGGGTGCTTTGTGCTTTACCACTGAGCAACGACTGCTGTCCTTTTTATTTTGAGATGGTGTTTCACTAAGTTGCTTAGGGCCTTGCTGAGTTGCTGGGACAATCATCCTGCCTCAGCCTCCAAATTTACTGGGATGACAGGAGTGTGTCATCGTTCCCAGCTCACCCTTGTCTTTTTGAGCACTGTGGAATATTTATAGTGATTGCTCGCAATGTAGATTTTGAAGAAGCAGCATTTCATAGTTCTCTAAAAACACAGAATGTGCACAAAGTAGGTCAGGCGGCTCCCTGGCGCTCACTCCTGCTCCCTGCCTGCAGCATCACCCATGCGTGTTGTCTTTCCACACACCAAACATCTTGTGCACCACCCTTGCCAGTGGGCTCAAGCTATCCTTGGCCAGAAAAGGCCACTGTTTGGGAATCAAGGCAGAAACCCAAACCCAATCCACTCATGTTAAACCACACATTTGAAAATTGGTTTGGGAACCGCGATGCTATTCAGAGACAACTGTATACACATCCACACCTGAACTGGTACACCACATACCACACAGACGGCCGCCCTCGGAAAGTGAAAGGAAAGGAGGAAAAACTTACACTACTATCATCCATTCTCTCGCGCCTTTTAGATTTGTGTGTCTCATAGTCTTCCATGAGGGTCTGCATCAGGTTCTTGGGCCGCTGGGTTCCGGCAGCCTCTTCGGGGGCTAAGTCAGGCTGCAAGCTGGGGCCTTCGGTTGTGGGGGATGGAGGAGGTTTGACTTTCTCTATTTTCCCTGAAACAATACGAAGAGAACACCCTTTCTAAGCTCATCTGCTCATGGCTGCTTTCAGAAAGAAGAGAAAACCGGCAAAAAGAAAAGGCAATTCTGACATCGAGGGCGCCCCCAGAATGAAGGTTAAGTGTGGGCCATTTAGTTACAGGGGACAAAACACTGCAAAGAATGTGCACACCCATCCATCAGAGACCTCAAGGACACTAGTTTTAAAAGGTTAGTTAGATCACACGGGCCTGGCGGGCATTTTGCAAATATGTTAGTCAGACCATCCTGGCCCTGGTTGCTATGGAGACGTGTATTCTATTACAGGTCAGAGGATGAGACTTGGAGGAGGTGGCACCTTGAAGCGTTTGAGGCCCTCAGAGAAAATCTGAGGTTCTGCAGTATTAAGGCTGTGCAGAGGTCACAGGGGTGACCAGGGGTGGAACCTGGCCTTCCTGGTGTCCTCTATGTCAGAGGTGGCCAAGTGCCGGCTATTCTGCCAGGGGTTTTCTATATGGGCATCACAGTGTGGCAGACCCTTTGAACGAGACTGTGACCATTCCTCCCAGGTCACTCCAGACTTACATGGGTCAGCTTCATTCATTCATCTTACCTGCTGGGGTCCCGAAAGCATTTGAGTTTGAGATCCTCCAAACCTTAAGGGACGAATGCCAGCGAAGGCAGTGTGTATGGTGGTGGGACGTGAGGGGCACGGGGTATCCACCAGACGTAGAGTGGTGAGATTTTAGATCTGAGATGCTCTCCAGGAGTTCTCAGATAAGGAAATGAGGCCAGTGGTGTGGGGACTCTGGACACTTTTGCTAAGACCATTTGCATTCATTCTTCTCTTGGGAAAAGCCTGGGGCCCTGGCTTCTGGCCCATCAAAGAGTAGACTTTAGTGCCACTGAGACCCAGGTGCACCTCTGAGAAGGTGCAATGGCAATGGTTTTTTTACACAGGCCCTTTGAGGGTGACACAGCTGGGCTCTGCAAGAAGGAATGTGGAGAAAACAGAATAAATGGGTCCTTTCAAGCCCCAAAGTAAGTGGCACTGGGGGCACCAGCTGATCCACGTGAGGCTCTTAAAGGGTGCGAGAAGAAGCCACATTTAAGAAGCCACATTTTGTCCTCTGAATAGAGCCAGGGGAAGTTGAAGTCCCACGTGACCCCTTCTGGTCCCAAGCTTGGGGAAACTCCCTGCCTTCATCTCACATCCCAGACTCCTTACTTGGCACCTGCCTGACATAGCAGGAGTCCCAAGTGTAGGCTGAGTCTGAGTCTCCATGCGGGTGGCTGTGGCCCCTTACCAGCACAGGCTCCTTCCGATGGACCTGGAAAGGCCTAGAGCTTGGAAGCTCCAGATTTTAATTCCTGCGCCCTCATTAACTGGTTACGTGATTGGCAATAGATCATGCTTTTAATGTTCCACTTTAATCTTCAGCCAATCACTTAAATTCTGAGCTTCCACTTCCACAGCTGCCAAATGAGTCTGGGAAGGAGCTGTCTTTGTGAGGTCTTCCAACTCAAATGTTATACTATTCCACTGAACACATTTGGCAAGCAGGGGAACCCTTATCAATATAAAAAAATAAGGCACAAGGCCATCACATTTGTTGACTAGGTGGAAAGTAGTTTTGTTTGTTTGGGGCACTAGGGATTGAACCCAGGGGGCACTTCACCACTGAGTCATATCTCCATCCCCCGTCTCTCTCTTTTTTGGGGGGGTGGGTTAGGGAGAGGTACCAAAGATTGAACTCAGGGGCACTTGACCACTGAGCCACATCCTCAGCCCTATTTTATATTTTATTTAGAGACAGGGTCTCAGTGAGTTGCTTAGCACCTCACTTTTATGCTGGGGCTGACTTTGAACTCACGATCCTCCTGCCTCAGCCTTCCGAGCCACTGGGATTACAGGCGTGTGCCATGGTCAATTCACTAAGTTGCTCAGGGCCTTGTCAAGCTGCTGAGGCTGGTTTTGAACTTGAGGTCCTCCTGCCTCAGCCTCCCAAGCCACTGGGTTACGGGTGTGCTCCATGGCACCTGGAGGAAAGTAGTTTTTAACATACAAAAGAGGGATTCCACTTCACAGCCACAATTGCACTGATTAACTTAGTAAAAAGCATATGCAATGATCCAGATAATTTTAAAACTCTTGATACCAACAATAACAAATATTTCAAAATCTCCAAATTCACAAGAAATCGTTTCTATTTTTTATTATAGAAGTTAGGAACTGCTAATAATGACTCCATAGGCATTTTTAAATAACCTACAATAAATATTTATCAAGATTTTACCACCTGTGGTCCTTCCTTCCACTTGTTGCATTTTTTAAAGAAATCCCAGACCTGGGGTCATTTTACCCCTGTACACTTAGCATACACCTCTAAAAATTACAACTGACTTTTAAATTGATGGCTTGAGAAGTGGTCCAGCACAGAGGTGAGCACACAAGTTTTGGAGCCCTTGTGCTGGAGTCTGAATCCACTACTTAGGTGCCAAGTAATTCTGGGCTGGCAACCCACTGTTTTTATACCTCAGTTTCCTCATCTGTAAAGCGGATATGATGACAGAAGTACCTGCCCTTAGTTGTTAGAAAGACTGAGTTAACATTTATAAAATTAGTATTTAGAACAGAAAGCATCCAATGAGTCCAGCTACCATTTAACCATTATCTCAAAGGATAATGTGACTCCAGGGTGAGGACACACAGTTTCATGAGTATCTTGCAGCTCTTCCAGGACCAGAAATAGACACCAAGTTGCTTTGTTGTCATCTCCAGTTGTTGACCTCAAGTGTCCAGGTAATCTCCCAATGGCCACTCAGCCGGCACTAAACGTCTAGAAGGCACAGTGGAAATCCACTGCCTCTAGCTGCTGCCTCTCGCACACCAGGCAGCAGGGCCCCCCAGCCTTGTAGAACTTGGTTTACCTCCTGTGACAGCCTTTTCACAAGCTGACTTGATTACTGAAGCATCTGTTACAAACTGCAAAAATGACCTGAGGATATGAACCGCTTCAACTATCAGTGAACCCCCCAAGCATTTGAATGAAGACCCCCCCTTAGAGGAGGGCCTAGCTGGTCCTGGTCGCTGTGGTACATGGCACACGGCAGGAGCTGTGGTACATGGCACTTGGCAGTTGACACGAGCTGATAAAACCAGTTAAGTCCACGAGGAAACACATGTACTAGCCGCTTAGCAAATGCTTATGGATTGGGACAGAACCTCCCACAAGGAATCAGAAGAAAGAGTTCAAATACCTTCCCTGGAACACATGAGATGAAACATTCCACGGCCACAGAATCACACTCATGGCTCTGTGGCAATGACAATGGCATTTCACAGATGGCCTTCATATCACTGAATCCTTGTGTCTTACGATGTGGATGTCCTGACACCTGGAAATGGCTTAGACCATGGAGGCCCAGAGGCTAACTCCTGCACAAGTGACAGTTGATAGTCACTATTATAATCTGGTGGTTGGTAGCTGATCTCTAGGAGGAGATGAAGGCTGCAAGGAAGCTGTGGAGGAGGTGAAAGGTGGCTACAGAGACGTGGTCAGCCTCAAGACAGTAAAGACACTTCCTGCTTATTTATTTCCTATCATTCCAGCAACTCAAAGCCCATCCCTGGAGCCAGTGTTACCAGTGATAGCCACCAGAGGTCACAGGAAGGAAGGCTGGCTTAGTAGGCTGGAGCAGCTGCCCCCCAGAGGAAAGGTGGCTGACAACAACCTGAGAGAAGAGGCTTTGTTCAGATAACCAACCAAGATCATGTCATGGCCTCAGGCAGGTGGGGCTGTCACAGGTCCCCAGACAAAGGAGGTGCTGTGCCTCATCCGCAGGCGTCTGGTCAGTGTCAGGGGAAGCTGGCTTGGCCAGACTTTTCTGCTGGGCCCCGTAATCCCCCACTGTCTCAACGAGGATGTTGAGAAACTTCTGCTGCTCTTCCCCCAGCAGTGGACCCTGCAGACACCTCCACTGTTGGACCTCAGAGATCATCACAGGAATGTGAAGTGAATGGTCTGTGCCGCAGACCTGCGAGGTCAGTCACATCCTTACCGGTGGCACCATGAGGCCCACTGAAGTTCTCTGGCCAAACAGTGAGTTATGCCCCAAACAGTGAGTTATCCCACAGTGAATCTCACCGCCCCTCTTTCTCCAGAGGTGCCTCCCTCCCAGCTTACCCCATCCAACCTGGCCCTGACCGAGGTTTATCCACCTGCTGAGTGATTCAATAGCTGAAATACCTCCAAGTAGCCTCCAATTCAGCGATTAACTGTCCAGTTTCTCACCTGGACTTAACATTCCACAGAAGAGTTCTCCTGAAGGACCCCAGTCACTGTCCTGAGAAACAACAAGAACAGACTGTGCCATGCAGAGCCAAGGGCAGCCCTGGGTTGCTTTAGCCTGAAGAGGGGACCCAATGGTAACAGAGCAGGGGACAGGTGCAAGGTGACCTCTACATCCGCCATAGGGAAACAACAGAACAAAATCAGACTGAAATTCTGAGTGCAGAATAGGAAACATTTTTGAGTGTATTTCATAAATGTGATTTTTGTTCAAACTACTCCATCTACAGTGATATCAGACTTAGAGTTTTGCAGGTGTTTGAGGATAAGCAACTTGGCTCGGCTGGATTGATTTCAAAGCTGTTTCTAAACATGTGTCCTATTACCTTGGCTATGTGAGCTGGTACCCTCAATGCTGTAAACAAGCAAAACAACCCCACCAAAAAGCATTGTAAAAATAAACTTGGATTTAAATAAGGAGAAAGGGGAGAGGAAGGCAAGGGGGAGAAAGGCAGAGAGACAGAGACGAAGGTCCTACGGGAAGACTTCTGGGTCTGGTCCTAACATAACCATGAATTGCTAATGCAAGAACAAAAATGCAGCATTTCTCAAATTTATTTAACCAGAGAAACTCACTTCATGGAATGCCTATTAAACTTTCAAGGAAGGCAGTTTAGGAAATATGCTTCTCTGATGTATAATACTGGCTAACCAGCTTCCAAG